TGGTTCTTTACAATGTGAGGTGACCAAAGTTTTGTTTCTACATGATCTAGGCTATTAGTAGCTCTGCCTAGATTTTTTGGGTAGTTTTTCATTGATATAACTCACAGGGCATGGTAATACTAAGAGATGTCCCAAGGGATCTTTTGAATTCCAGGTGTACTATTCCTTATTTCTATTCTGGAGTAGTAGTTGGGTTTCTCTTTGGTAGTTAGAATCAATCACTCCAGTCACACAGTAACTCCCATGTTCGTCTGTTGATTCAAATGCACAAGGAGTCCAAAGTGATCAGGTCACTCTTTAGTTAAATGAAATCATTGTTGTATCTCCAAATGGAAGTATTCTTCTCTTTGGCACCAAAAACTCTAGGTCAGCAGAGAACAGGAAGCAAAAAGTTTGCTATTGAGTTACTAACCATAATAGTGAGGCAACTCCCACATTTGCTTGATTCATGGACAAATGAATCCTGGCTACAGGAGAAGCAGCACCATATATTGGACATGATTCAGGGCATACATAGCCTTCTGCTGCCTGCAAAGTATTGCTATCCCATTGGTATTATAAACAAGTCTTAGGCAACTCCAAAGTTTTAATAAGCCAGCTGTTTTCGGATGGTGGGGAACGTGGTAAGATCAGTGACTTCCATGAACTTGGGCCTATTGCCACACTTGTGCTGTGAAGTGAGATCCTTGTCAGAAGCAGTGCTGTATAGAATACTATGATGCTTCATAAGACATTCTGGAAGTTCATGGATGGTAATTTTGGCAGGAGCTATGAATGTAGAAAAGGCAAATTTGTGTCTAGAGTATCTATTCCAGTAATGACAAAATACTGTCCTTTCCATGATGGAAGAAGTCCAATGTAATTGATCTGCTATCAGTAGCTGGCTGATCACCTCAAGAAATGTCTCTAGAGGAGACTCAGTACTGGTCTCTGCTGCTAACAGATTGGACACTCAGTGGAGATCTTAGCCAGGTCAGCCTTGGTGAATGGAAGTCAATGTTGCTGAACCCATGCATCAACCTTCCTCCCTGCTACCATGGCCAGTTTGTTTGTGACAATAACAGCAGTGACTAGGGAAAGCAACTTTCTGATATCCATAGAAGGGTCATTTTGTCCACCCAATTTTTAAAATCCTCTGCTGCTGAGGTCATCTTTTAGTGAGCTTTTTGGCACATGTGTATCTTTACTTTTTCATGTCCATTCTGAGAGGTCTATCCCATACTTCTCCACATATTTCTTTGTCACCATTTATCTGATCATGTTTCTCCTAAGTCCCTAATCATCTAGTCAAGCATGTGAATAGGAATATAATCACATGTCTCATTATTTCTCCTTCAAGAAAAGTGAACAATTAGGTGAATTGCTTGAAATCTTCCCATTGGGAGGATTTCCCTTCCCCACTGTCCTTCAGGGTTGTCCCTGAGAAGGCCTGTAGAACTATAGCTGTCTACATTTTTTGGTGGTGTATGCATATTGTTCAGGATCACCTGTAAACCAGTCTCAAGCCCTCTTGTCCTCTGGTTGTAGGGAATTCCCCATGAGAACATACGTGCAGATGGGGCAAGATAAGGCTATGTAGCAGAGTGGAGATCATGGGCATTAAGGTCATTTCTTCATGTAACTTGGTTCTTCGTGGCACAAGTGGATTTAATGTTTCTACCACTTCTATATGATAATGGAGTATTGCCAAAATTTGTGATTTGGTGGATCAGATAGTGCTCAGTTTATGATGGGATACTCGGGTAACATGATAATTGGTGACTCGATGCTACTAAGGACTAATAATTGAACAAGAGTTGTTTCTCAAAAGGAGAGTAGTTATTTGCAGAGAATGGCAGGAATTTGCTCCAAAATCCCATTCACTTAACAAATGCTCAGGACAGCATCTCTACCACTGATATTTCAAGCATCATTGAATTTGCTGCATCATATGGTCCAAGTGGCAGAGAAGCTTGCACAGAAGCCTGGATTTGTTGTACAGCTTCCTTTTGTTTTGGTCTCACTGAAAAGTGACAGCTTTTCAGCTCACTCAGTAAATGGGTCCAAGTAATACACCTAAATGTAGCTGCCCAAATCCAGAGGCTATCTAGGTGTTGTACCTCTTGTTGATTGTAGAAGAAACAAATTCCTTACCTTAGGAGGAATATCTTGACTTTCCCTACCACCAGACCCCTGGAAATATCACTGAGGTAGAAGCTCCATTAATTTTAGTCAGATTTATTGCCCACCCTCTGTATACAAATGTCTTACCTGTACATATAACTCACAGGTCCAGTCAGCACAATATCATCAATGGAATGGACAAACATGGTAGCTAGTGGAAGGCTATATTAGGGGATCAAGATCCTATAAACTAATTCATGAGTTATCACTGGAGATTTCATATTCAGAAAACTCATCCTTAAAATTCTCTAGAATCACTCTTGCTACTATAATCTGTATTAGTTAAGGTTCTCTAGAGAAATAGAACCAATAGGAGATATGTGTGTGTGTGTGTGTACATGAATGCATTTATTTTAAGTAATTGTAGGCTTAGAAGTCCCATTTTCTGCTGTCTCCAAGCTGGAAAGCTGGTGTCCAAAGGCCTGAGAACCATGTGAGTAATGATATAGTTTTGTCTAGAGCTGAAGGCTTGAGAACTAGGGGTGCCAAGGGTAGAAGAGAAATATTCCAACTACCAATCAGACTGGAAGGACTAAATTCTTTCTTCAGCTGTTACAGAGCAACCCCGATATTAAACGGGTTCCTGGCTGTGGGTCCTCACCCGCGCTTTAAAGGGACTTATGAATACTCTACTACAGACACACACAAAAGGGTTAATAAAAGGTTTATTTACAAGAGAAAAAGAAATAAGGAAAATGTACAACTCAGGGAGAAAATAGGGAAATAAAGTCTTTAATGCGTCCTACCCGATCCGACGACCTGGAAACCCAAAGTCACTCTCAGAGCTGGCCGGACGCTCCGAGCTGGCCGAGAGCCCAAAAATGGAGAGCCCCCAAAGCCCACGTGTCTGCCTTTTGTATCCACCTGGCTGCTTAACCCCACCCTCAGGTCCCAGCTACCTTCCCTTTGGTGGTGATGGGATTTGGAGTTCCCAGTGTCTTTGGCTTTGACCTGGGGTGGGGGTGGAGTCCACAAAGCCTATATGGAATTTGCTTTGGGACATCCTTTTTCCCCCTAACACTTCCACCTATTTGTTTTACTTAGGAGTTCAACAGAGTAGATGATGTCCACCAATAATGGGAAGAGCAAAACTGCTTTACTAGAGTTCACTGATTCAAATGCTAATTTGACCTGGAAACACCCTTATAGATATACCCAGAAATAATGTTTAGCCAGATAACTGAGTACCCTGTGATCTAGCCAAGTTGGCACACACATTTAACCATTTTACATGTCAAACCAATATGCTGAGTATAGCAGAAGGGCAAGAAGAGTCAGATCCTTAGTCTCATTTTTGAGCCACTAAATTCTATGACTGCCTTTCCTTGACTGTTTGTTGTGTAATTTAGTGTTACCTTTCATTGTTTTCTGTTCCCTGTAGCCTATTGTGACAGATACTGCCAACAGATAATGATAGGGGCTATTAAAGCATAGTCTATAAGGTGTTGAATCAATCCCCAGTACAATATATTACCTATAGTCAGCGTATGGTTTGTATAAATTCATAGGGTTTTTGTGTGATGTCTTATTTAAACATCAGAATTGGCTCACACCATGACCTACCTGCCTAGAACACTAGTAAACTTGCATTTCAACATTCTGTCCTTCACTTAAATAACCCCAGTTTGCATCAGTTAGAATATAAACCTTAGGAAGGGACTGAAATGAGGAATATAAGGCTTACCAGATGCTAGACCAGTTTCTGACACTGGTCTGGATGAACTTGTACTAAAAGATGGGCTCTTGCACTGTAAAAACATTAGCCCCAACAAAAAGAATGGGCTAGAGTAAGTTTTAGGAGAGGTAACTGAATTTATTGAAAATCACCAGGTAAAGAATAACCAGATTTTGAGAGATGAAGGAAGTAAGTTTGAGAAGACTCCAATGTCTCAGCCTCAGGTGACTGTTCCCACTGAATTCCTATGAAATGTTACTCTGCTTGTGGGCAGTTCTGACTAAGAGGCTCAGTCCAGTTCAGGGAGCCACTGTCAGACAAGATGCTGTTCCTGAACACTTTTGTTTGTCACTGTATGCCTCTACCTCACAGGCAAACACCTTTTGAAGTATCTGCTCTGCTCACAAACCAATAAATTCTTTGTACTAGGAATTGATCCCTTTCTACCATATGGTTCACAAACAGTTTAGGTACTGTTGACAGATCCGCAAAGCCACAGGTACATTCCTGATCCAAACCAGACAGTAGTTTCTTTTGTGAATTTGTAGTCAAAACCATCGAAAATGGGTATTCACTATAGTACCATCTACAATATGTAAACTTGTAAACTGTGGAGTGGCCATCTTCAGCCACAGTGAAAATGACTAAGCAAAGAAGGTCAGTGTATATAGACAGGCAATTCTGTCCATGCTGCCAGTCTGGACCTTTTATTTGATCATCTATAACATGTTTCATCTTTGTACATCAGGTGATTACTCTGTCACATCCTGGTTTGCATCGATATTATTATTTTGTACATGTATTGCATTTCTCCCCAAGTGTATTTATTCCAATGGCTTTTCTCATTCCCAAGAGTTAGGACTTGATCTTATTTACTATCAGCCATCAATTAGAGTCATCAACTAGAATGTTACAAATACTGTCATTTGAGCACACAAAGACAGCACTAGAGCAGAGAACAGATAAGCTGTGATGCCTGGGGCTGGATAAATACTCTTAGCTATACCAAAGGGGCCCCATTGTTCTCAAACTTGTAGGTTTTATGTTTCCCAGTGTATATGGTTTATCCTCGCTGCTTTTGTTCTCTTACAATCTTTGTGACGTCCTTGCTCTTGTACTCCTTTGGAAGCTCTGTTGCTAAGAAACAAGGAAAGGCCAAAGTTCTTGATGTGAAACTCAATGTTAATAAGAGAAGGGGGAGGAAAAGTTGCCAGACAGCATGTGTGCTTTGGGTCTGCTTTAATCTACACCAGAAATGATTTTTTGACAACAGTAAGATCAAGGAGATGAAGAAGGGTACAACAATGACTAGGTTAGTAAGGTTATTTTCTGTGCCAGTTTTATAATATTGACAATGGAACTGGCATTCAGTCCTTGGCTCAAACCTAAAGTCAACCTTATATTGTGATGGTTTTAATTTGAGCAAAGATTTTATATAGCAGTGAGTGTGGTTTGGATACATTGGAAATTGACATATGCACATGATACCTAAACATCAGGGATGTTTAGGTATTTATTTTTACCTTGTCTTTACAACATTTAAATCTAAAATAATTTTAATATTGAAGTCAGATTATCATATCTACGTGTATTAGTGGTATTTAATCAAGGTCCTTAATGTGCTGTTATTTCTAAATTTTTAAAATAATTAAAACAAGTTCTATTTATATTTTTTTCTGGTAGTATAAACTCCTTTTTTATATTTTTTTCTGGTAATATGAACTCCTACCATCCTGCTTTATACACAATAAGTATATCTGTGAATTAATAAATATCTGAATTGTTATTTTTTAAAAAGTATCAATTTTTAATATGCATTAGAATCACCTAAGAGTCTGGGTGAGGCCTGATAGTCTGTATTTCTAACAAGTTCCTAAGTAATGCCTTTATTGCTGTCCACAGGCAATATTTTCATTGGCAAGGTTTAAGAAGACTGGAAGGAAAGAACTTCATACAGATCAACAGCCTTTGTTGTCACTAGGAAGGTGAATTGGGCAGTGAATGAGATTGGAGTTCTGAAAACCGGGGTCCTAGTCCTAATCCTATAACTAATTAACCCCGTGACTTTGGGAAAATTGCTCATTCTCTTTAGGACCTCAATTTCCAATCCTATACAATGAGGGAGTAGGGCTGCATAGTGTTTCAAGCTATCTATAGTAATTCTATAGATCTATACAATGCCTCAATGAACCTCTTAGAAAAAGGTGAGACAAGTGTGAGGATGAAGAGGGGCAGTGAAGGTGATGGTTTTACCAGTTCCCAGAATTTCTCTGGGATCTTACAGTGGATCTTGTAGGTTGAATGATGGATCCCAAAAAGATATGACCACATCCTACTTCCTAGAATCTTTGAGTAAAACCAAAGATAAAACATCTTGGCAAATATCATTAAGTATCTGGAGATGAGGGCACCTTTGATAATACTGGTTGACCCTAAATCCAGTGACAAGTATCCTTATAAGTGGAAGAATAGAAGAAGACAGAAAGATGAGTAGGGCATTGACTTTCTTGAAACCTAGTGGCCACTTTATTCCTTCCATTTTCTACTTTTTGGAATGGAAATGTCTGGATGGAATTTGTATTTTGTATACAGATACCCTGTTTTCTAGTTTCAAAGTTGGGAAAGAATTTTACCCCAGGATGGACCATACCTCAAGTTTTACCCATATCTAATTTGGATTATAGAGATGATAAAATTTGGACTTTTTTTTAGATTTTATGATAACTGGATGAGAGATTGAACTTAGAGTTGATGCTAGAATGGGTTAAAATTTGGGGAGATCTTTGGATGGGGTAAATATATTTTGCATGTGGGAGGACATAAATTGGGAGGGGGTAGAGCTTGAACTATCTGGATTGAATATTGTATTCCAAATATCTGTATCTCTGAAACCTCTTGTCATGGCTGTATTTGGAAATAGAATCTTCACAAATGTAAGCAAGTTAAATACAATGACTGGCAGTTTTTAAAAAGAATGGAAGGGAGGGCCTCCCCTGGTGGTGCAGCGGTTGAGCGCTGGGTTGCGAGGCTGCCCGCAGCTTCTGCAGCACCAGTTCGATTCCTGGCCACTGACGAGGGGTCCCACAAAAAAAAAAAAAAAAAAAAAAAAAAGAATGGAAGGGAAAATACAGGAAAAGAAGAGGTTAGGTGAAAACTGAGAGATTGAAATTGTGAAGCCAAGGAGTAACTAGAGTCACCAGAAACTAAAAGAGGCAAGAAGGACTCTTCTTTTGAGGGAGCAAATTCTGGCTGATATTTTTTTTTTTTTTTATTAATAGAGGCATGTTTTATTTATTTATTTGTTTGTTTGTTTTGTTTATACATGCACTGGGTACAGTCAGAAGCACGGGAGGGTGAGAGAATTCACCAGAGCCAGAGCGGGGAGCAGAACAGGCAGAAGGGCCGAAGTACACTGCTGAGGGGAGCAGCGGGCGGCAGGAGAGGTCTGCGCGCCATGTGGGACCCTCCTCTGGTGGCCGGGGAGCAGCTGGGGATCGAACCGGCGCTGCAGAGGCCGCGGGCAGCTTCGCAACCCAGTGCTCAACCGCTGCGCCACCGGGGAGGCCCTCTGGCTGATATTTTGATCAGACTTCTTATCTCTAGAACTGTGGGAAGATGAATTTCTGTTGTTTTAAGTCCCCCAGGTTTGTGGTACCATGGTAAGGCAGCCCTAAAAAGTTAATACAGATGTTTGCTCAGGAAAGGTCGTAGGTATGAGTGTACTTTGTTTGATTAATCATCTGCCAAATTTCTCTCCATACCAGTTGTACCAGTTTATACTCCTACCAACAGTACATAGAGGTTCTTAAATTTCTGCCAATATTTGCCATTATCTTGCTTTCTAATTTTAGTTAGCCTAATAGGTGCAAGACAATATCTCATCATTTCTTTAAATTTCCATGTCCCAGATTATGCCTGATTTTGAGTTTCTCTTGGTAGTCTTACTAACTTTTTGAAGATTATCTGTTTATAGTATTTGCTGATTTTCCTACTGGGTCTGCTTTCTGTTTCTTAATGGCCACCAGAAATTCAATATATATTCTAATTTTTAATCCCTCATTAGTTTTGCAGTGAAAATATCTCTCCCCATTTTTAAACTGTCCCTCATTGAATAGTAATTCTTAATTTGTTTCATATTCTATTTGTTTGCCCTCATCCATGCCAAGCTATACTAAACCCTTTTAATGACTTTGATAGAGTTTATTAAATGATACAACAGTGTCATGTTAGATGATTTGTTTTCTGTTCACTTGCCTTTCAGTTTGTATATTACTTTTCCAAACCCAGTCAACCTTGCAGTCACATGTTTAGCTAAAGTCAGAGCAGGAAATGGCAGACCTTATTCTGTAACAGAAAACACTGCAACTAATTGGGAACATTTGGGACTTTAGCACATTTCCTTGCAGTCAGGCTATTCATACGTGGCTGTAATATGCGGTTGGAACCGAAGTTACATACCCCTCACTTCACAGCTCCTTAGGGAACCTGATGAGACATGAGAGGGTAAACAATAAACAGTTCTTTGGTCAGCAATATAGAGGAGAGCAAGTATGTAATCTCATTGGGGGAGGGGGATTTTGAGGGGTGATTGTTCACTGAATCATAGAATGTGAGAACTGGAAAGAACCTTGGGGATCATCTGATTCTACCCCTTTATTTTACTGATGCAGGAAGTAAGGCCTAGGAAAATAAGGAAAATAAAAGAGGTCTGTTCAAACCATTCAACTGTCAGGGAATTGCTGCGACTAGAATTTGGATCTCAATTCCCATTTTGTGTGTTTCCATTTTTCTACCTTCCCAAGATAATGTCAGAAGTCATTTCTCTGGAGGGCTATGAACCAGAGTTAGCACTTAATCTAGGGAATCAAAGACCTTCAGAATTTGGACCCATTCAGCCTCTCCAGTTTATCTCTTGCCATTCTAGATTAGCCTCTGCCTTTTTCCTTTAACATTCCATGCTCTGCCTTTAAATCTTCATGTATGCTGTGGTCACACATGATCATGTTCAATGTCCTTTTCCCTTCTCTTCGTATTACCCCTCAAGTAAGTGCTCATCCTTCAAGACAATCCTGTTTCCTCCATGCTACTGTTAACCCACATTATTCTCTCCTTTAAAAAAATAACATCTGCAGTCTATAAAAACACAATTTAACCTTGATCTTGTGTTTTTTTTTTCCTGGAATTCTTATATTGTACAGTGAGTAAGCAAGTCAGTTTATGTCTCAGTACTCACTCAGTTAATTTACTAATAAAAAAAAGAATAGTTGGTCAAAATCATGTGTAAGCATGCTTCCATGTCTAATATTCTGTGTCTCCATGGATTCTAACCTCCTCAAGAAAAGGAATTTATATTTATTTTGTATTCTACTTGTCTTCTTGTTTTTTTTTTTTTAAAGTTTATTTATTTATACAAGCACTGGGTACAGTCAGAAGCGCGGGAGGGTGAGAGAATTCACCAGAGCCAGAGTGGAGAACAGAACAGGCAGACTGACGAAATACACTGCTGAAGGGAGCAGCAGGCGCAGCAGGAGAAATCTGTCGCACCATGTGGGACCCTCTCCGGGGGCCGGGTATCGAACTGGCACTGCAGAGGCTGCAGGCAGCTTTGCAGCCCAGCGCTCAACCACTGCGCCACCAGGGGAGGCCCGTCTTCTTGTTCTTAACTGAGGAGAATTTTGCTCCTGGGGAAATTAACAACACTTGGAAGTATCTTTAGTTGTCACAACTGTACTACTAGCATCTTGTGGGTAGAAGCCAGGGTGTTGCTACCATCACACAGTGCATAGGACAATCCCCACAAAAAATAGACCATCTAGATCAAAATTTCAGGTAAGACTGAGAAAACCCAATGCCATAGACACTGAATAAATACTCTCATCTTTCAGTCTAAGAGAATTGCCCTAATAGAAGGTATCCTGTCAGAACTGTCATAAGGGAAAAAGAAAAGGAAGTGACCACTTAAGTAAAACTAATGCTAAGAATAATTTTCCTTAGTCAAGAGGAAGATCGTAAAATACATAGAGGAGGAAATGTTGGATGGATGAAAGCTCAGAACTGAGAATTTATTTACTTTGTAAGGGGTGTTGATTTAAATAGCTCATTTTCCAGACATCTCTGGAGAATCCTCTTGTGGTAAATGATGGTGATGATAACATTGGAACACATAAAGGAAACTTCTGGGAACTATCATTTATGTTGTCAAGGTTTATTTTTATAATATTTTCATTCTTACCTCCTTGAATTAAAGTATAGGTGATGAAAGTGGTTTTAATTAATAGATGAGACAAGGAAATTGATTTCATGAACTCTGTGCTCCAACTCTAGAAAAATCACAAGCTCTCTTTCCAGACCCCCCACTAAGGATGTTCTGGGGATAGGGATGATGGATGGAGAAATGCTTTTTATGACTTCTCTCCATGTCTGCCTTGGCTGTGTTTCCTACATTCTCCCTCGTCATGTCTTTCTCTCTCTTTAGCTTGCAACATACGAGAAAGTCAAGTCATTATTTCTTTGTACCCCTCCTCGCTCTTCTGCATCATTAAATATAATTAATATTCTAGATAAAATAGAAAGCTCCCCCAAAAGTTGAGAATGGAGGGAAAATCCATGCCAAAAAACTCTCTTGAAAAGAACATCATTATCTCAATCACTCCAAGCACTTGGCAGGGGATTGCATTGTTAGTTCTCCTGACTACCAGAGGTATTTGGCTTGGTCTCTGTTTAGATTTCTTCAGGAGAAGAAATGCTTAAATTAAACATTAAATTTCATGAGAACATTTCAGTTCCTTGTAACTCTTCTAATCACAATTGCTTCCAGTGAGGTGTCATTTGAGGCTCTTCACTGAGGGAGAGTTCTCTTGAGGGGGACTTCCACAGCTCATTTCAAAAGATCTTTCAGTCTGTGGTCAAGTGAAGTACATTGTAAGCAGACTGAGATATCTATATTAGCAATACCCAGGATCTGTTTTGCAGGGATTACGTTCCT